AGCAGGGGCCCTAATAATTATAACAGAGCTTTGGGGTCCGTTATACGATAAATATGATACGGAACCCCCAGAATAGTAATGGCAATTATTTACGCCCCGAAAGTACCGAAGACCCAAGCACACGCACTATATCTATATCCCCCTTTTGCCTAAACGCTAAACCTCTAAACCCTAAACTGGGTTGTAGTTTGGGGGCCCTGAAAAGTATTTATGAGTAGGTACCTCTATAGAAGCCATAAGGGAAATTTTAAAGTTTCCCAAATTGCCACCTAGTAAACTATATCTGAAACCCAGGACATTCCGAAACTTCAGAGATGCCAGAAGCGGCAAAAGGAAACCCCATCGGAGACCCCAAACGTCAGTTTTAGGGCTTGGGCTTACCCTTGCCCTCAAAGGACTCATATTTTAAGGCTTTTGGGCCCAAAGACCCTATTATATAAGGCTTTTGGGCTATTTTGATGCTAAGGGTTAGTTTAATGTAGGGGCCTACAACATTACCAATACTTCTGGGGAAACCCTGAGCCTGAAGCCCCGAAAGCCTGAGCTAAGCAAAAGCTGTCCCTGAACCCGAAACCCTAGACCCAAAGGGTTTAGGGTTTAGGGTCCCTAAACCCAAAGGCCGTCCTCGACTTCCATAGCACCTCGCTTCTTGGAGCATCAAGGGAGCTCAGTCGGCATCCGACTTTGGGAACTGAGATGGAGCCTGAGGAGGTCGGGGCTCTCGGATAAGAGCATGGGGTGTAGAGTCTTTCGAATTAAAGTTTGAGGGTGGAGGGCTTTAGGTTTGGGGGTCTCTTCTACTGATCCAGATTAGTGCGCGATGTTCCGCGGCTATCGTTAGGCTCTAAGATTCCGAGGGAGTAGCATTGCAGATCGTCTCGTGCACACATCGGTTCAAAAAAGCCTTTGCGTATCGTTCCCAGTTTCGACACTCTCGTAGGGGTTTTAAGGTTACACCAAGCCCTAGACCTGTGTGTGTGGGCGGGGGGAGACTTTTCTGCTTGAAGCAGGGAGTGCATAAATAAGTTCCTGTAGTAGCAGTACTGAAGCAACAGCAAGACCAGCAATGACGGCAACACCAGCAAGAACGCCGTGGCACTAAGCACAAACCCTGCATTACCTTCGGGACATACGCACGAGATATTGCTTGCTAAAAAAATGCAGGATTGCGTGCCTCGAGACTATTCTCAGGCCTTGATCCTATTCCCAGTGCTCATCGCATCCTTGCCATTAAGACTCGTCGTCTCTGTTCACTGCTCATGTTCAGAAGTGCGTTGAAGTGTGACTACTGCTGGAGTCTTGCCAATTCGAAATCCTACATCGCATACTCAAGATGCAACACCGTCAAGTCCGAACAGTAGGCCCTAAACCCCGAGCCTCACTATAACAAGATCTTTTGCAGGGCCCCTTCAAGTCTAGACTAGGTCTTGACTATTTACTATCAAACCAAACCCATATTACCACAAAAGTAAATAGGTTCAAGTACAAGTATGGTAGGCCAAACGCCTCAGTGGCCCCATCGGACGTAGTAGGATGGTAAAGGCAAGGCATTGGGGTCTAGGGTTTAGGATTTGGTAGATTTGCCAGTATCCGTAATGATAAGGATGCCCTTTTCGTATGTGCCAGTTCTCACCCGGACCTCAGAGTAAAAAAGGATATATTGATAAGACGTTTAGGGCTCAGGGATAGGTCTTGCGCGGTGTATCCGCCCTCGGGGATGCCACGGTAGGAAGACGAAGCACAAAGGCTTCTCTAAACCCTAAACCCTAAACCCTAAACCCTAAACCCTACACTGGGGCCATGTTGGGGTCCTTCTCATAAGACTGCCGTACTCGCTTGGGGAACCAAAGCAATCAATATCTGGTCTTACCGATCTTATACGCCTACAAATTTAGGGGTTTAGGGTTTAGGGTTTAGGGTTTAGGGTTTAGGGCCTTCAAAGGTTCAGTCAGAAGAGTTACCTACTCAGTTACCTTAATATAGGGGCCTTAACAACTAGAATAGGGTTTTGGGGCCCTTTGTACGATGATTATGATAAGGAACCGGCAAAATAGTATTGCTAATTATTTAGGCTTCTATACTACCTACTCAGTACTACCTACTCAGTTGCCCTACCTGACCTAGGTTTTTAGCTAGTAATGCTAGGGATCGGAATGCGCCTGCCCACCTACCGCTGTAGAGCAGGCCTCCCTGCGTATGAAAACCTTGATCCCTAAACGAACCCTGACCTGAAGCGATAGACCCCCGACTCCTCAATCCAAAACTCTACATTTTTCGAACGTAAGTCTCGAACCTTAGACCTTTGGCTTCCTATTGCAGGTCGCCCCGCCTGAAGACAGCCGCCTCACTGACCGGCAAAACCAAAGCCGGGTCGGCATGGCGCCGCCGAACCGGCCGATAGAAAAGGCTCGAGGTTCAAGCTCTGGGGTTTAGGGTTTAGGGTTTAGGGTTTAGGGTTTAGGGCTTAGGGTTTCGACACTTTTAGGGTTTACGGCTTGATTTCGGGCAAGACTCGTAGACTTCCCTCCGTTGAGCGTGTGTGTGAGTGAGTGGTTTCGGGCTTCAGGGCTTTGGGGTTTAGCGTCGTCGGAATGATCAGAATCAGTGTAACCATGACTGTTTGTTGTGTCCTCAGATTGGTTGCTTGTCGTGACAGAATTGGACATTGTGAATAAGTAGCTGGGTTAATTTGGTAAATGATAAACTCAATGCGATTGGCTGGTTGTGCTTTCAGACCTTAAGCCCCAAACCCTAAACCCTAAATTGTGCTTTAAGACCTTGGCCCATGCTTATGTGGACTGGGTTTTGAGGCTGAAGCCGAGACTTTGGTCTTTCAATTTTCGGACTCTGCGGGCGTGCGAAAACATACCTACAAAGGCTAACCATTCCAACACGTTGATGCTCCAACGCAAGAGCTACGTCTTGGTTCCACTCTTCCTCTATGTGTGGCGTGTCATCCTTGCGCAGGGGGAATGCTAGTCTGCTCCGTTTCGTTCCGACTTTATCCGACTATCTGCGATCTGGGTAGTTGTCTAGATTAGGGTCCGGTCCAATCTATAGAATTCGAAAATGCAGGCCCGTATTTCGACACATTCTGCTTTTTATGAGGGTGCCATAACTACTACTTCGGGGACCTAAAAAGGGACCCTATAAACCCTAATCTCTCATTTAGAGATTTTCCCATCTTCGGCTTCCGTATCTCAAAGCCAGGAGAAACACATCGGAGTAGCGAGTAAAGGCAGCTCCGCGCTCGCGTGCCAGGGCCCTCCCACCGGTGTTTAGGTGTTTAGGGTTTAGGTGTTCAGGGTGTAGGTGTTTAGTTTTTAGGTGTTCAGGGTCTAGGGGTTGAGGGTTTAGGTGTTCAGGGTTTAGGGGTTTAGGGTTTAGGTGTTTAGGGTTTTAGAGGTTTAGGGTTTAGGTGTTTAGGGTTTAGAGGTTTAGAGGTTTCGGCTCTCACACTCGGACAGTGCAGGCGAGGCTGATGGTCTTAAGTCGGCGAAGTGAAATGGCAAGAGTAAGAAAGCTGGGACAGTAACACATATAGAAGTCTAGGGTTTAGGGATGTCTATCTTAAGTCGGCGAAGTGAAATGGCAAGAGTAAGAAAGCTGGGACAGTAACACATATAGAGGTCTAGGGTTTAGGCATGTCTAAACTATTAAATACAGTCAACACATGTCCGAAAGTACGTGGCCAAAATTCCGTACGTAAACCCTAAACCCTAAACCCTAAGCAACAAGCTATGAAAGATCCGCAGTACAAATCAAAGACAATGGCAGTGGATTGAGGAAGCTCTCAGTCCCAAGGTTACCTGGTTTAGGGTTTAGGGATCGCCGTTTACCAAGGCGGCTGGAGAGATTTCGCCAGTTGCGGAGACTTCCCTCATGTACCGGACCACGAGGCAGTCATCTCTTGCTGGCACACTATTGCGATCCACAGCCTCATGGGATCAAGTAGAGACTTACAAGTTAAAAAACTTCAAAAGCAGAGCCCAGCAACTGCACTCGTTTCGGACTGAGTACGCAAAGGCTTCGAGCTGTGGGCTTCTAGTGTTTAGTGTTTAGGGTTTAGGATTTTAGGCAAAGGTGCAGCTTTAAGGCTGTCTAAGAGTACTCACAGGTTTAGGCTCAGGGTCATAGTATTCAGATGCCAATTCGGCCGACGTTTGCTGTCGATGTGCGCGTTGTTCTGCTTTACAGTTCACTGAACTGTTGAAGCTGATTGGATTTTGATTGTGCGGAAAAGTAGCTGCTTCTATTTTGATGTAGTCACGGTAGTCATGCTCTTCCGCTCTTTTGTGCTGTGTCTTGTGATGAAGACTTTGTGCATAAGCTCGGCATGTGTTGCCTTGCGATGCCTAGCGCACGGGCTGCAGCCATTTTCTTCAAGAGCCGAAATCAACCCACCGATGCCATGCTGTTTTCGCCACAACTCCACAAAGCTAGTCTGGCCGCATAGCATCGGAGTCCTCTAGAATGCAAATTTGATGCATGCTCCCCTCATGCTCCCCGAGCCAGCTATACGAGGCAGGATTTCTGCGTGGAGGATCGCAGGACTTCGTAAGCAGGAGCCTTATTGCGGATGCAAACACCACAGCATGCACTTCATTCTACCATAACTCTCTTCCAAGCAAGACCTACGTAAGTCCCAGAGCCTCCAGTTTGGGGACCCCCTCCAGTTTGGGGACCCAGCGCCGAGGAGCCTTTTGAATTCCTGCACTTGAGCACACCTTGTGTAGTGCCAGCGCAGGGGGACATGAAACCGCTGTAGCTGCTCACGCGGCCGACTGCTGCAGGAGTCTCTCTGCCCCTATTTCTCCAGTTTGCGTTAATCTTGACCTGCTCTTATGAGCGTCATCTTATCTACTCCTCTATTAAGTGAGCTCTCCGGTAATAGGGTCTTTAGAAAACTCCTGCTTTTCGCCGTTGCCTGCAGCAGCACTCTAGAACTGTATGCAAAACCTTTGGAAAACATCATTCTCTGTACACCATGCTACACCGCGCTACCAGGGAGGGCTCCATTCTTTGCGGGAAGCATCCGCGCCCATCTTCATGCATGTGAAGCCGGTGACTGTCGGATCGAAACTGCCGATGGGAGATGTCCAAACTTCACAGCGCCCCGGAGACCACTCGATGCCTGTGCAGGAATTGCCGCCTCTGTACCTGGTGGGACGGTACCCGGTTTAGGGAAAAGGGTAAACCCAAACCCTGAAGCCTAAACCCTTTTGTAGGTGACCTGGTGGATGCCCGGAAATCGCCTGAGAAGCTTCTGCTCTTAGCGCAAGGCACTAGTCGCCCAACTGAACAGCAAAGCAAAGGAATCTCTAACGCCCTAAACCCTACAGCGAATACCGACAACCCAAAACCCTAGAGCCTAAACTCATGGTATGCCCCCTAGCGTCTACGAAAACAGATGCCCTGCTGCGTGCTCCAAGCTGCCCTGTGCAAGCAGCCTTGCACTCCTCCAGTGACGGATGCTTTGAAGGAAGCAGGTCCTTGCTTCCCCAATGCTGCGGTTTAGGGTTTAGGGTTTAGGGTTTAGGGTTAATACCCGAACGACGGAGAAAGCTACAAAAAGGCAGAATACACAAAATGAGTGTATTGCATACATGCTGGGTATTGGAGCGCAAGAGTCGTAGTGTCTCGGGTCGTCGTCGTCCGGTGATCTGTAGCGGCAGGGATGAGATGTGCTTGGTTCCGCAGGGCCCAGCTTACCTGGGTTGTACTTTAAGGGCTCCCCTTTCGGGTTTAAGGTTAAGGGGTTTAGGGGTTAAGGATTTCGGGTTTAGGGGTACTTGTATAGGATTAGACCATAAGGAAAATCGGAAAGTGTTCCGCGTTCCGAAGCTCCACCTAGTTACTGGTAGGCCAGCCATATCGCAAGCAAGTAAAGTCCGCCTTCTCCACGGGGATCTCTGCATAAGCAAAGATTCCGAACGCTCGGGTCCAAATCTCACAGCGCCCGTGGCTGTACTCAATGCCCCTGCAATCACCCCGGTCCAGGTCCATGCACTTGAGCTTGCATTCTTCGAGAGAATAGATCTTGTGGACGACATAATGACGAGGATCGTTGTCCTTACTTTCCCAACAGCCAAGGAAATAAAGGGTTTAAACTTTCAGATTACTACTAAGTTATACCAACCCTAAACCCTAAACCGTTTAAAGGTTGAGTATTGGAGAGCTAAGTGTCGGATGCGTTGTCTCCGCGGCACGCATGGTTCCCCGAGCCGCCCACAGGCTCCCACAAGTCAGTCATAGCATCTTTGAGAACTCTAAAGCCTGG